CCTGAGGCGCGGGGGCGAGGCCCGTCCGTAAGCACACCCAGACTGGGCTGCCGGGGTCCCCACGGGCACCCACCCACCTCCCCGCACCATAGTAGAGGGCGTAGACAGCTCCAGAGGCAAGGAAAGCTCCAAAGATCTGCACGGCCACGAAGATGGGAAATTTCCACCAGGGAAACTGCTCCAGCAGGCACATGGCAAAGGAAAACGCGGGGTTCAGGTGGGCCCCTGCAATGCAGCCAGGAGAGAGGCTGGGAGTGGAGGGTCCCGTGGAATCTGGAGCCAGGGGACAGTGGGAGTGGGGACCCTCTCCCCAGCCTCACCAGAGACTCCTCCTGCTGTGTAGATGGCCACCATGACAGCCAGGGAGCCCGCCAGGCTGGCAGTGAGGATGTTCCCTTTAGTCTCGGAGCTGGTGAGCATCTGTGCTGAGCCTCCCAGGGTGATCAGCTGGAGAAGAAGGACATGCCTGCACCACGGCTCTGCCATGGCCCCTCCAGCCTCCTGCCGAGCCCCTCCCTGGCTCCTCAGGGGCTGCTGTGCCACTGTGCTGCAGGACTGGTGGGTGCCAACCCCAGGGGCAGAAGGGCAGCAAGGCCAGGGCTGCTCTGGTGCCTCTGCCTGTGCCAGCCACATCATTTTGCTCCCCCATCCCCTCAGCTCCAGCTCTGGGAGCCTGTCCTGGACAGGCAGGGAGGTGGTTACTGCCTCACTCGTGGTTTTGTCAGCAAGGTAAACAAATGATCAGCAATTAAATGACCTGCTGCCCTGGGAGATAGCGGGGATGGGGTGCAGCTGTGAGGTCACCTGCTGCCACCACCTAAATGCCATGTGCACCTGGCTGCAGAGCCCCAACCTTTGCCTGCTCAGGGGTGGGAAGCACCAAGGTACATGTTCCCAGCGCCGCTCCCTCCGGTGTCGGGTGGCAGGGCAGCACAGGGCGTCCTGCTCTATGGGAACAGGGTCCGAGGGGGGGCAGCCACTGCCAAGTCATTTGGCAAGTGTGGTGCAGCCTCAACACCCCCCACCCCTGGCAAGGGGTGGGCAGGGGGGCGCTGGGACCCCCGATAGTTGCCACAGCCCCAGGGTGCGTCCCAGCCCACCCGCGTGCCCCACTCACGATGAGCACGAAGACGCCCAGCAGCTCCGCCAGGCACTCCCGCAGCAGCTGGTTCCGGACATGGAGCAGAGCCCGGGCCTTCTCCAGGAGGGACAAGGTGCCCATGGGACCCGCTGGGATGGGGCAGCGGCCGCAGCGTCGATGGTTCCTTCCCGGCGTGATTTTATGAGCCTTGGGGCCGGGGTGGGTGATAACACGCAGACTTTAAACCAATCAGGGCCACACTAGAGGGTGACGCCTGGCAGGGACCAGAGTCCCGCGTGGAGTCAGGGACAGAGATGACAAGTGTCCCCTGGTAGGACCAGACCCCGCAGGAGCCCCAGAGGATCCCCAGGTAGCCATGGCAAACAAAGCCCTTGCCCAGGTGAGCTGGCACGGGTACTTCCCCTCAGGGGAGCCCCTGCTTTTCCTTGCCAGATCCCTGCCCAAGCCACAACCGCAGGCAGCGCTAATGAAAAGGCCTTGGAAAGGCTCCCGGGGTAAGAGTGGCCCGGGGGAGGTGTTGGTGCAGTGCTGGGCAAGCAGGGAAACAGAGAGGGAGATGTGGGCAGGGAGCAGTGTGGGCACAGGGCCAGGCATTGGAGCCTGCTGGCCACCTGCACCCATGGGGCAGCCCCAGGAGCCACTGGAGGTCCTGTCCCCAGGGAGGTTCCAGCCTGAAGGAGCCTGACAAGTCACCGTTAGCATAAATAGACTTTATTGCTCTGTACACACAAAGAGCTGGCCCCCACAGGGGGGTCCTCTGCAGCGCCCCAGAAGGCAGGCAGCCCCCAGGCCCAGGTGCCAGCCCCCAGCAGGACCTGCCCCACCTGCAAAAAAATAGAGGTGGTGAGAGGCCGTTGCTGGCCACTGCCTGCCCTGGACGGAGCAGGCGGAGCAGCCTCGGGAAGCCCCGTGGTGCCCCCACCTGCCACACCTAGGGCTGCTGCCAGGGGGCACAGCTACCAGCTCGAGAACCAGCGTCGGAAGAAGCTGCCCAGCAGGGAGGAGGGGTCGCTCAGGGGGGGCGTGTGGAGCTCGTCCTGCTGCGGCCACGCGCCCGCGAACTGCGCCAGCTCCCCTGGGAGACGGGAGAGCTGAGCCAGGGGGGCCCCAGCCTGCTCCCCTCACACCCCTCAGCACCCCACTCACGGTCATCCATGTTGACCACCTCCTCCCGGTAGTCCTTGCCCTGCCCGTCCTCCTTGGTGGTGGTGATGAAGGCCTGGTCCCCCCGCCGGCGCGTCACCGTGGTCTCGCGGCGGCCCTGGCTGTCTCGCACCGTCCGGCGCTCCTCCACGGCCTGCGGGGACACCCGGCAGGCACAGCACCCTCAGACACAGCACCAGCACCCCGGGCCCTGCTCCTGGCGCTGGGGACGCTCCCCAGGTCACCCGCAGCCCAGCGCTGTGAGCGGGGACACTCACCCCGTCTGGGAGAGTCACTTTGGTGACGGAAACGCTCTGGAAGTAGGAGCGGGACTTGGGCTCCTCGGGTCTCAGGATCGTCCCCAGCCCTGCGGAGGAGACCTGGGAGTCCAGGTCTGTGGAGAAGTGTGGGATGGTGACACCGGCGTGGGGACGTGCCCTGACGGCTGCAGCAGCACGGGCAGGTGGGCAGGGGAGGG